AATTCCGGGGGGGTCCTGCTATGGGGAGACCCCCCCCCACGCCCCTGCCCCCCCGCGCGACCCGGGGGGGCTCTTACCGCGGGTCCGGCGGGCGCGGAGTTGGCGGCGGTCCCGGGCCGCGCGGCGCTGCGCTCCAGCCCCTACTGTAACTGTATATGCAAAGCCCCGTATGATGCTCAGCTCCCTTCCTGGTTCTCCGAGGGCACAGGGGTCCCTCCCTCCTCTTAAAGGTGCAGCGCCCTCCCGCCCCCGCCCGTGCCACGAGTTCGTCCGGCCTCAGCTGCCAAGCCTGAGTGGGGAAGGGGGAGGGGGGGCCTCCTCGCCTCACCCGCTGCCTCAGTTTCCCCACCTCTCGGCCCAGTGGAGGGTAGACAGAGGTAGGGGGCGAGGGGGTGTCATGTCAAGGGTAGCGACTCCCCCCTTCCCCAGGGGCCTTTCCTCTCCTCCGGCGGCCCCCCACGACGAGAGGAGGGACGTCAGACTGGGCCCCGCGCAATTTAGCTCCGCGACACTGCCCCGGAGCGCAGGAACCCCGTATTGGCACCAGGAGCCGGACAGGACCGGACAGACGTTACTCACGTCGCCCAGCACGGCCGCAGCGAGGAGCTTGGTGGGGCAAGAGCGCCCGGCCCAGCCCCCCGCAAACCGACGGCGGCACGTGCTTCTGTGGCCACGAAGCTCTTACAAAACCAAGCCTGCTTTTGAGAGCCTGCCTCCCATCTCACCCTTTCAAGGAAATCAAGTGCAATCCGCTGGCTGCCTATCACCTGGAGCCAGAGGTCAGGCCAGGAAAAATAAAAAGTCATGAAAGCTCCCTCAAAGCTCCTCCTCCCGCCCAAGCTCCTCCTATGCCTGATACTAAATAAAGTGCCTCTCGCAGGAGCTTGCACAGCACGAATGTCCCTTTCCAGCCAGCTTGCGATGGCCAAGAAATGGTCAACGGTGTTCACGCGAGTCGCTGCTAACGCACCACCATTGTTAGGTTCCAGGGTCAATGACCTGGGATTTCGCATCTGTCTTTGGAGACGTTTTACATGATCTGCCAGCATGGGCGCACGTGCAGCCCCCCTCGCTCAGATGTTTCCTTTGCAAAAGGAAAGGCTTCAGATTTAAGTGGGGGACTTTTAACGAACCGAGGGAGTGAGACGCTCAATTCCAACTGGGCTTTGGATACTTCTGAAAGTCCAATCGTGAAGGGCTTGAGCACAAAACGCAGCCTCTCCCCACCCCAGAGAAAAGGACCGACACGCTGTGTCGTCGTGAGCTACCCTGATCTGTCCCTGGCACTTACCTGAATGCGATGTCCTTGATGTCCAGAGGTGCCTGGCTGTGCAGGGATGCCCAGGACGATGCACATGCAATCAGCCTCCTGCCTCGTGATAGACGAACCAGTCTACATCTTCCAGGGGCTAGCAGCGGGATGCAGGAGAAGGCTGCGCCAGGCTTGCTGTGGGAGACTGGGTCCGAGGCACAATTTAGCAGCTTGGGAATGTTGTCTGAGGCCTTGTCTACACTGGGGCAAGCTTCTGCTGGCAGACAGCAGCTGCCACAAAGAAGTCACCAGCATGCATGTGCAAGGTCCATGCCATTCACTGCACCCACTGGGGTGAATGCACCCTGGGAAGACTGCAGCTGTAGAAGGCACCTGGCCCTGGCACAAAGCATAACCATATCTACCTGCATGCCAGTGGACAGCAGAAGCCCCTTAGATGGGAGACGTGGCATATGGGTGGCACAAAGGAGGTGGGTGCTCCCACAGACCAGCTAAGAGGGTGGATATGTGCTCTTAGTTTGATCCCAGCACTTGGGCACAGTCTGTGGGCAGATCTCAAACATGGGGTGCAGGGTCCTCCTTTAAGGCAGGAGCCTTCAGTGTGGCTCAGGTCAGGCACCCCAATACTGTATTCAAGTGCTCACTCATTACTTCAAAAACTCTTGGCCTGGACTAAACAACAACGGAAAACTCCATTGTTTTAACACTCACAGCATTGCCTGGATCTATCCCGCAACTCTGTACACTGGGGTGGGCCTGGGGGAATATAGATAATTAGAAAAACCATCCCAGCATTTGTCAAACTAATCAACTACCTTCAGCAAGGCCCCAGAAGGTATTTTTAGAAACACCTGCCTGAAGAACTGCTGTGGGGCAGAATGTGGGGGTGGAGGATGAAGCCTGTGGCATGAGGTCTCCGGCTTGGTGCTGCCATTTGTGCGATCTGTAATGTTCCCAGATGCTGGAGTCCTGCAATTATGGGAAAATCCCAGCTTTCTTTTTAAAGTGGTTACTAGTGGCTGATGAAAGCTTGGTCATGCGACTGTACCCTCCAAAAAAATTAAGAAGAGAAAGAGAGAGAGAGGCCCCCAAATGGACAGAATTAAATCTCATGGTTTTCAAGGGATCAGAGTCTTGACTGCTTGGGGTTGGCAGTGCTGCAAGCTCAGGTGTACTCCCCACAGCTGATCAAGTGAGAGAGGACAGGTGCAAAGGAGGCCCCTTCTAGCTTTTGGTATCACTTAGGCATGAAACAGAAGAGAAGGGCATAGTGACCAGCCCAGGGCAGGGACACTGCCAGTGCAGCCACCATATAGCTGACTGATTGCACATGTCCCGATCATCACAGCCCTCTAGGGATCCTACCAAGGAAGTGGGGTGTTGAAAGCCCTAAAACATGCGCCTCCGCCCTCTGGAGCAGGGTGCTCAACACAGATCTCCCCCTGCATCACATCTCTCCTCCTCTGCTGCTGTTTGTGTGGATGAGCAAAACAACGATACTGATTTGAAAGGGGGAAGGGACTTAGCAAGGGTCAGATGTTAACTGCTGTGTCTGTCTGCTCTATCCCATGGTAAGTAAGTATTTCACCTGGTTCATTCCAGGGTAAATTGCTGCTGTTTAGTTTCACTCAATGTAGTGCAGGCTCAAACAGTTGCAGGAGATCACCTGATGCTCACTTGCTCACAGGCAGTCTCTCTAATCCCCCTTTCAAGCAGTATACTCCATATTTCTTTAGCACCTTTCATGCACAAGAGTCCCATGGTACAGCCACCCACAGCAGTGCTGAACTGCTATGGTCTCTGGCAGGAGAAGATAATCAACTCCTGCTTCCTTCTGTTCCTTTAAAAGAAAATCTAAGAGGAAAAATTGGGCCTATAACCTGGGGCAAGTCTGTGCATATATAAAACAAGGGCCCCAGGAGGTATCCTATCACCACAGACCAGACTGGGCCTTGGATTCATTGCGCTAATCACTAACACCACTACCTACCTCCAATCACTAACACCACTACCTACCTCCAATAAGGGACTTTTCAGCCTCCGAATTCAAAGCATTACCATGATGATCATGGGGCAAGGCCGTGGCAAGTACTTATGAGGCCCAAGATCACAGAGCCAGGAACAGCACCCAGGTCTCCCAACACCAGGGCTCTGTTCACTAGGTCATACTGTTAGCGCATATGTGCTAACCCACATCCCCCACACAAGAGCATACAGAGCTTTGTATAACTCTTCCACTTAAGCACTGGCAGTCAGATAGGGAAGAGCAAGTATGTGAGGGCTGCCTGTTTTTAAAAGTTTATTCCAATTTTTCTAGTATATACATTAATAAAAGGGCGGGGATGGGAAATATCACATCTCATGGGGGACAGAGATGCCATTTTTTCGCTTTGAATGGGGAGATATCATCACCCCCCTCTTTGCTCCCAGGCACAAAGCACAGACACCATTATCTTGAACCCAGCAAAAGTCAGCTGAAAGTATCCCAACCGGCTACACAGGGCTTTGGATTTGGCCCCGAGACAGGAAGTGACTTGTGTGCAGTCACATGCTGAGGCAGGAACTAGAAGCCAGGCGTCTGTCTGGATTCGTGGTCTGGTGCATTAGGCCTGAGCCCACCTCCATCTTAGATTACTAAAACCTGAAGAGCTGCAATCGCAGGGCCCCTGCGACCTACTTACTTATTTGCATCTTACTCAGCTCGGACACTGAGACATGCTTGCCCAGCCGGTTTCACTTTCTCTTGCTCCTCAGTTCTGTGCTCTAGGACGGGAACATCACTTCGGGGTTTCAGTGGCTGCCGGGGAAATTGGAAAGGCGAGAGTCCAAAGCAGTTTCTTTGCTGGAATCAAAGTAACAAAGAAAGTCACTAAAATATTCTTATTTGTGGGCAGCTTTGCAAAAACTATATTTAAGACGGCAGATTGTGGGCTTCAAACAAGCAGCTAACACCATTGGCAAACTATTGCCTCGAAAAATCTTTTTCCTCTTGAAGCCATAACTCCTAAAGAGATCACCTGAGGAGCTCAGGAGGTCATGCTGACAGCCCTCCTGGCTGCAAGAGAGGCCTAAAAAATGGGACTCAACAGCTCAATAAAAGGCGACAAATAATAATCCCTCCTCCCACAAAATAATTGTTATATAAAAAAAAAAACAACGCATGATTTTAAGCCAGTCTGATGATTGCTGCAGGCCTGGGGGTGGCAGCCCTTGCATCATAACACAAAGGCAGAGCTCAGGCA